TTCTCGTCAATGTACATTTTGTTCTTGTGTTTCGCGTACATGTCTCTGTCTCTCATTTCTTCGTCAAGTGTCGTGACATCTTCTTCGCAATATATTTCGGGTAACTTTGTCCTTATCTTACGTTTGAATAAGAGTTCAGACGGTGAAACTCCAGTCACACTATGCGGTTTTGTCCTGTACGCCATTATATACTTTCTTAGTTCTCGTTTCCAGTCCATTGCATCTGCCTGAGCGATCCTGATCCTTTTCATTAAAGATCTATTCTGACGTTCCACTTCACCATTCGCGGCTGGGTATAATGGTGTGTTTCTAACATGTTTCACATCAATATCCTCCAAGTATTGCTTAAATAGTTTTGACGTAAATTGCGGTCCATTGTCAGAACGGATAGACAGTGGTAAACCATGACGCAAAAACATGTTTTCAAGCGAATCTATCATTTTCTCGCTTGAAGTGTCTTTTGTAATGTCAATCTCATAATTTTAATTTTAATTATGTCTTCTCATAATAGCGACTGTAATAGTCTATTACAACAAACACAAAATGTCCAGATGGTAGCGGCCCTAGCAAATCAATAGCCAAGTATTGCCACGGTCCTGTAGGCAATTTTGTCGGTTCCAGCGGTTCTGGATGTGAAAATTGAGATGTTATCTGACATCCATGACATGATTTAACATATTTCTCTACATCCTTATCCATGTTCGGCCACCAGACCTTACTTCTTAGCATCTGTTTAGTTCCTACAATTCCTAAGTGTCCTTCATGAGCTAATTGCAAGCATTTAGCTTGTAGTGTTTTTGGAATTACAATTCTTCTTCCACGCATTACTAAATATCCTATTACACTCAGTTCGTTCTTTACGGGGTAATAAGCACTCATAACAGACTGGTTCCATTTAGCTTGTTGAAGACAATTTCTAACTTCTGATAATTCTGTGTCCACTTTTGCTTCCTTTTCGATCTCTTGGGTTGTTAACGCTTTAGGTGTCCCTTCCTGTGCGCAAAATCTTACAAATTCTTCAGCGACATTCCTTTCTTTGAATTCAGTTTTGTTAATTGCCACCAGCCGTGACAGCGCATCTGCAATATTTTGTTTTCCGGGTAAATATTTTATTTGATAATTATACGACATAAGTTTCAGCATCCATCGTTGGATTCTTGCATTTTGAGTAGTTTTCATACATTTTGTGTTATATAAACTTTCTAACGCTTTGTGGTCTGTAATAATTTCTAAATCTATTCCGTACAAATACAAGTGATACTTTTCAAAAGCCCAAACAACGGCTAATCCTTCTTTTTCTGTTGTTGAATATCTCTTTTCTGTTTCAGACAGCGCCCTACTAGCATAACTTATAACTCGAGACATTCCTTTATTCTCTTGCACTAACACAGCACCAAGTCCTACATTACTTGCGTCTGTTATTAGTTGAGTTTTATCTGCATCTAGTCTATAGTATCCTAGAGTTTCTCCTTCACTGAGTGAATATTTTAGTTTTTCAAAACTTTCTTGTTGCTCTTTGCCCCATCGGAAGGCCTCATTCTTCTTTGTCAATTTTCTAAGTGGTTCGGATATGGTTGCAAGATTAGGTATGTACCTTGCACTATAGTTAACTAAACCTAAAAAGCTCTTAACTTCCGATCCATTTGTCGGCTCTGTTGCGTTTAGCATATCCTTTACCCTTTCTTGTGTCGGTCCTATTCCATTTTTAGATAAGATATGACCCATAAATGTTATTTTGTCCATAGCAAATTCACATTTGTCACCATTTAGAGTCAACTTTTTCTGACGGATTCTGTCTAAAACTAGATTAAGTCTTTCGTCATGTTCTTCTTTTGTGCGACCAAATACAACAATGTCATCTGATATGTTCTGGACACCTTCAATATCATGAAATACTTGAGATATAACTTGTTGGTATTTCTCAGGTGCGGCATTTATCCCGAACATTAAACGTTTATAACGGTAAAGTCCCCTGTGTGTGACAAAAGTCGTTATCTCACGTGAACCTTCTTCAAGCTCCAATTGATGAAATCCATATCGCAAATCCATTTTACTAAACCATTCTCCGCCATTCATTTTGTACAATATTTCGTCCACAGTTGGTATCGGGTGCCGTTCGCGTACTATCGCCTTGTTTGCTGCCCTCATGTCAACACATAACCTTATATCGCCATTAGGTTTAGGAACTACAATAACTGGACTGACCCACGGTGTCTGGTCATTTACTCTCTCAATGATGTCTTGTGATTCTAATTCATCAAGTTTTTTATCCACTTTTTCCCTCAATGTGAACGGTATCCTGTACATTCTTTGCGCAACTGGCTCAACTTTTGAATTTATGTGCAACTTTAATTTGAAATTTTCCAATTTGCCTACTCCTTTAAAGCAATCACTATATTTTCCTCTAATATCTTCGTTTATTGAATATATTCCTAATTTCAAAACACCTAATTGTATAGCTGTTGCTTTACCTAGCAATGATACACTTTTTCCTTTAACAACATAAAATTCAGCTTCTACACTTTCAGATTGACCTTTGACATTTAATTTACATGTGAATTTTCCTAACACCTCTAGTGGTGTTTCACTACCCTAAGCATATAATTTCTTTTCTGATTTTTCAGATTTACACACAATTTTCTGAATTTTCAATTTTTCCCACAATGCACTTGAAATTATATTTACTGATGCACCGCTATCAATTACACATTTCATATTTATGCCACCAGCATTAATTTCAATTTCATCATTTTTATCACTTTGATTTTTCACAATAAATGCATATTCATCATCATCTGATTCCACATAGTTGACAATACCTTTTGCACTTTTATGACCATATTTACCATATCTTCTTTGATTTTGTTGCCCTCCTTGTTTCGTTTTACACACGATTCCAAAATGACCACTTTTCCCACATTTATTGCATGTTTTACCTTGTGCTGGGCAAGATAGATCTTTACCGAAGTGTCCCTCTCTCCCACACCGATAACATTTTAATCCTGATTTTGTTTTCGTTTTGTTCTGTCCATATTGTGTTGGTTTTCTTTGATTGACTCTATTGACACTTCCGTGACTACTTGATGGGTTGTTGCCATAACCATTTGCACCCTCCATTTCGCGAGAATGCTTTTCAGCCATTTCTAAAGTTCTTGCAATTGTTCTTACATCATCTAAAGTCAAACCTGGTCCCTTTTCAAGAAGTCGAGTACGTAATTTATTAGAACGACATTTTTCTATGACCTGGTCCCTTACTTGTGCGTCGGGGTCTGCATGATCACACAATACTACTTGTTGTTTCAACCTTGTGATGTATTGATCTATTGTTTCTGTTTCATTTTGTTTGATACTTCTAAAATTATAACGTTCTACTGAAAAATTTACCTTGGCATCAAAATGTTTCTTCAATGTTTTGATCGTTTTATCAAAATCGTCGTCACCATCTTCCTCCGTTAATGTGAAGTATATATCTTGTACATCGAGTCCTGCACAGTGTAATAATAATGCTTTCTTTTGTTTCTTGTCGGATACACCTTTTCCTGTTGCATAAAGTTCAAAACTTCTCAGCCACCGAGTCCATGATTGTCCGAGTCTATCTCCACTGACATCGAAATTTCCAACTGGATTTAAATCGATTTTAGCTGCCATTTCACAAAAATCAGCTTACCACATTAAAGTTCAATGTTTCTTCTTTATCCTCGTCGCCAATTGTAGTGTTGATGGCTCATGCTTTATATGTATCAGGCCGATTTAACGAAATACATTAGAGAAGACATGTTTATTCAGCATCGTTTACAATCAGAATCCTACAGCACTACTCAGAACGTATCATTATAGAATATCAGACAATACTTAATATACTACAGTACTATAAAATGTATAATATATAGCTCAGTGGTAAATAATATCATGTTCAAGTGCTATCAACATCAATTAACAGCAATCACCTCAATTCCGAGTGATTAACACAACACCAGCAAGAGTGATACCTAGTTTGTATTTTGTGTGTCAACTTTTAAATATTTAAGTGTCAGAGTTTCATACAATTTGATTTTGGTACTGCCACAACATAATTCTCATCAAATTTGTTCTAGATATATGTACAATACATGTACATGACGGTGGGAATGAAGTACCCAAAATGAAGATCATCATTTACATGATTAACAGTATTTGTCAACGATAAACAATTTTTTCCTTTCTCCCTTTGATGCTAATGTTAGCTCAAAATCATTTAGATACTATAACGTAACCCTGTGTCCAGTATTCTCCCTGACAGGGTTACGATTAAGTTCATTTAATAATACTCACAATGTTGCAAATATTAATTTGTCATTTTCAATATATGTACATTTAAGAATAAAGTTATCTGTTCTCATACAGGTAACAAACTAAATGCAATAAGGAATGAATATCGCCCACCTTCATGTTAAGAGAATTGTATTTGAAATTTTAATTTCAATTATACACTCCTCTTGTAGGAAATGAACCTTGAGCTATTAACAATTATAATACATGAATAGTAGATTTACACTAGAATCTTGTATTTTCTTCAGTTCTGATGTTTTATTTCACGATATTTCATACAAAAGTAGATTAGTAGCTTTGATTTAGTTCTTGTTAACTTAAACATGTTAAATATATCAACATATAAACGATTTAATGCAATAACATGAATATTATAAGTTTGCCAGTAGTTACTCAGTGATGCTTCATTTAGAATAATGGTACTGAATCGTTACCATGTCAGGTCAAGAAGCGATGTACATAGGATTATTTTATTGTGATATCTAAAATTATGAAGTTAAAATTGACAATTGAATTTTTCGGTTTATTTCGCATGTACCAACCTCATAATATCGGATGTTTAAAAACCACAAAAGATCTCTCAGGCTTGTTGGTCAGCATCTGCTGCCGCCTGGAGGTTGCTTGGTGTTTATAGTTTCATAATTATACATGACATACATGTACATGTTAGAAACACATTAAAAGAAACTTACACTTTCCAGGAGGACCCTTTCCAGTACCTCGACTAATCTCTGAATATTCTATGAACACAGCACCATCCTTATTAAATTTTAACGCACGTTTTCCATATTTATACAATTCGTGATACTTGAAACGACAATCATCCAGAGATTGACTTTCGAAGTTTTGAAAAAATTGTGCACATTGGTAACACACTGACCAAGCCTGTTCCTCATTGACAGCATTGTTAAAAGCTACTAATATATCCTCTAATGATAAAGAATCTATTGATATTTCACTGTTCTCATTTTGGCTCGTATTCGCCATAATCCCATTTTATCTATCCGGTCGTTTCGAAAACATGTCACGCTTTGATCGCACTCATCTTGGTTAATATCGATATTTACTATTTACTTCATGGGAGATAACTCTAAAATATTTAAAAACACTTAGAAAATAAAAGCCCGCACAGTACTTTAAGTACGATTTGCCAGTTATTACCTAGACTGGGTTGCACAAACGTCAATTAGTTAAAGTAAAACTTCATTGTTAACGTTAATTAAATCCCCCCTTTTTTAATGATATCAAAGTACTGAAGTAATGAACATCGGCTGACCGCAAGTTCTTGTGGATGGTCACAAACACTTGTCTCAGAAAAAAAATCACATCTCTATACCTGAAAGTGAGGCTAACTTGAGGTACATAACGTGAGGGTACCCAAATTGCACCTATTTTGACATTTTTTCACCTACGTTTTTTTATGATCTAGACAAAAGTTTCCATTATGTTTTTATTTTGTAGATGTATTGTTATTTACTATATGGTTCCACCAATTTAATTTTGAATCCATATTGAATCATAGAAAAATGGGTTTGAACAGACCTCCAAACGATAAGATAAGATAAGATAAGAAAACTTTATTTTGATTCGGCATAAGTTAAAAGACACAACACAAGCTCTAAGGAGCTTTTGACCGAATATAAAAAGATATACATAACATAAAAACAGTCTAATTTGACATATAAAACAACCTGTTATACGAAGTTAAATCTCACTTACATAGCATGCAATAAAAATTTAGCAACACATTTAAAATGAAATAAAACATGCTAGACCAGAGCAACCAAAAGCAACATAAATAATAAACATCTCAAGAATTATCTGCAAGCAGAACAGCGACATTCCAAACCGTTCCAGGACTGAACAAGACTTTTAAAATGTGAAAAACTATTTTCAGTCCTGAAATGGTTTGGAAGGCTGTTCTATAAAGTAGCGGCAGCAAATTTGAAAGATTTTTTACCGTAACGGGTTGACTTTACCTGTGGAACATCCAGAATATTTACATACCTGAAAGAATACTTAGATTTTTTGACACTCACCAAATTTTGTAAGCACACAGGAGCTATATTATTTATAATCTTAAAAGTTTCTAGAGCCATTTTTCGAATCCGTCTAATCTGCAAACGATCCATGGTTCTGTAATGAGGAGTACCCAAATTGCATTCATGCTTAAATTCACTTCCTTAAAAGTCGAATAACAGATCATTTGTTTTATTTCTTCAAATATTTTGAACAATTTGACATTAGTCCATGCTTATTGTTCATTTTTTAAGAAATGAATGCTTGTAACATATTTTATTTGCCAATTTTTAAAAGATGACTTTTTGTGGACGTTGCATGGCGACGTTTCCATACATTTTTACTTCTTCCAGGAAACACTTCATATGTTGATATATACTGTGAACGTTTTGTGTATTTCTAAATATATTTACCTATGTTGAAAGACGTGCTTAGTGTCAAATCATAGAAATAAAATTGTTTAGTCTCTAGGAAAACTTGTAAGATTTCCGCTGCTATTTTTGCTAAATAGGTACAATTTGGGTACTCGGTGCAATTTGGGTACTGTGACGTTAGATATATTTTTTTCTGAGACAAGTTCGTGCGTGGATGATAAATAAATGATAGGGAATTCAACCTTACCGTAATAACTATTATATTGTAGTGATACAAGTCAGTATACTCTGGTTTGTTGTTATATATTATATTAATATTTGTATATAACAGTTACATGTATATAAGATTTTCATCCATTTGTATATCATTCTATTCTACTATTATAATAATAGTGCAGTGCAAGTGCATGGTGGACACTCTTCTGTAATCATTCGATTTTTCTTATAGATTGGATTTGAGTAGGCATTCATATTTTTCCGCAAAACGTTCTTGAGATATTCTTCCGCATGCATTAACACACATTTTCGGTATTCTTAATTTGTTATTGATATATATATTTGTAAAAATCATTACAATAGCAGTAATAACAGTGTATTGTCAACTATAAGACAATAGCATTGTACAAATAAAATGTGCAGAAATTAGTAAAACATAAACAAAAGATGAACACTGATAAATATATCTACACAAATATATGACTACTAATTATGAATCATGTAAAATAAATCATAATTTGCAAATTATTTCTCTGAAATTTCTTCAAGATCTTGAATGAATAAAGCATTACAACTGAAAATTTATTTTTTTCTGAAAGTGCGTTCTTGAAATTAATGTTATTTGTTTTCAATGCCTAGAATACACAAATACAAAATTTAATACTACATCTTTAATCAAAACTTAAAATTTAAATTTAATTTAACCGTTAATTGGAGAAAGATCTCTGGGAATGAAATGAAGTATGTTCAGTGCACGATTTTTTATCGATATTGTCAACATCGCGCTGTCTACTGTATCGTGTCATTACATTGTATCGTATTTATAACCTTGTGTTTACACTGTTTACAAATGTTGACCATATCGAGTCAACATCGTGTTTAAATTGTATAACAACTCCATACCTTTGTGTTCACATCGTTCACATCGTAGACATCGCAATGTTGACAATAGCGAGTCAACATTGTGTTCATATTGTATGCTTATAAAAAAGAAGATGTGGTATGATTGCCAATGAGACAACTCTCCACAAGAGACCAAATGACACAGAAATTAACATTTATAGGTCACCGCACGGCCTTCAACTATGAGAAAAGCCCATACCGCATAGTCAGCTACAAAAGGCCCCGAAATCACAAATGTAAAACAATTCAAATGAGAAAACTAACGGCCTAATTAATGTACAAAAAAAATGAACGAAAACCAAATATGTAACACAGCAACAAACGACAACCACTAAATTACAGGCTCCTGACTTGGGACAGGCACATACATACAGAATGTGGCGGGATTAAACATGTTAGCGGGATCCCAACCTATATCTTTGTGTTTACATCGTTCACATCGTTAACATCGCGATGTTGACAATAGCTAATTAGCATCGTGTTTATATTGTATACAGAGTCTATACCTTTCTGTTTACATCGTTAACATCGAAAACACAATATCGTGTCAACATCGTGTTTATAGTGTATATTTTAAACGAAGCAAGTGAACAGACATTCCAATTTATTGCGAAATATAAATATGCCATAAAACATATGTCACACAGAAAAATACAATTTGTTTATGCTGAAGAATTCAGACATGTTTAATAGGTATCGACTTGTAAAAAATAGCACAAAATCCAAGTGTGAGTCCCCTAGCTTAGTTTATGTTAATGAAAATACCTTCAATAATGATTAATTCAATGATTTAAATTATTAATAATTTCTTTTATTATGTAATACTTATGAATTTGGCTGTGTTCATTTGCTATTTATGTATAAAAGTTTTTTGCATAAGAAACTAAAAAAATAAAAAATAGTTATGTTCTTCAACGATGTGAACAGTATATAAGAGTTGTTACAATGTAAATGATATTGACACGATATCGTGAAAACATTGTTAAAATCGCGATGTAAACAAGATATCGTTACAAATTAACATTGTAAACATCGTGATGTTAACAATGTCAACAATGTAAGCAGTATATAGGAGTTCTTACAATGTAAACAAAGTTAACACGATATCGTGTAGATATAGTTAATATCGCGATGTAAACGATGTTAACACGATATCGTTACTACATTGTATACATTTCGAAGTTAACGATGTCAACGATGTAAACAGTATATAAGAGTTCCTATAATGATATCAATGTGTGTTGACACGGTATCGTTAACAATGTCAACAATGTAAACAGTATATAAGAGTTCTTACAATATTAATGATGTTACACGCTATCGTGTTAACATTGTAAATATCGCGATGTCGACACTATTGTTTTTACATTATGTACTGGACATGGATGAATGAAATTATAAATACTTCTACACTTCTACATTCGATGTGTTGTGTGCTACACTGAAATTCAAACAGTACACAGTTAACAAGTCATAGTATTATTGCATCTCAGCTTTAGACCTCAACTGAACAATTGAAGGACCTTACTATGTATTGGCTACCTAAACTAAACTGACAAAACCGTCTAATATGTTTCAATTGCTGTGACTCATATCAAGTCTTCTTCTGAAAAAAGAGAAATCTGCTTTCTGAATCTGTGGTTCACCATGACGAGGTGATATTACTGCTATAAAGTTTCTAGACAACCTTGCCAGGTTGTTAGTATTCCTAAGTGCACCAAATTCACTTTTTTAATAGCAGAATTGTTCCTGTATCACTATTTATGCATTTATGATAAAAGTTAGTTTTTTATCATTAAATAGCCAAACTTAGTTTGTTTGTTTGTGTTTTTTTTTTCTTTACCAACTTAGTGAAAACGCGGCTAGAAACATGCGTGATTTATTGTATTATTAAGACTTTTTTTACAAATACGAAATATATTTGTTTTTTGTGCGATTCAATTTTTTAACTTAGCCATATAAGTGGAGATAACTGTTATAGGAATTTTCTTTATAAAGGAATATTAATGAAATTTTCATTTCTTAAGTTCGGTGACAGCATTTTTCTTTTTTTTTCTAAAAGCATATTATAAAACTTATCTTCTCATATTTTATTTCAAAATTTGCAACATTTGGCAATTTTTAATAACTTATAGCTTGAAAAATAGCACAGTGACCTATACCTTTTCATTATATTTTTGAAAAAAGGCATGGTAAAAGCTACATTTTGGCAAAGTATAAGAAAATTCTATCTGAGGATATATTTAGCAATGATCCTACTTGATAAAAAAATCTGATAACACATACCGGTACCTTGATGATAAATACGGTTTAAATAATCAAGAATTATCCAAACTGCGGAAATTTATCTACATATAAGGTAACTGACTTTAAATAATTCTTATAAGACAACAATAATTGCCCTTTTCTAGATATAGATATTCTAATTTCACAAAGAAAAGTAGAATGATGTGTATATTTTCCAACTCGTCCGCTATGGCCTGTGTCTGTAGTGTCGTTTTATATTTCAATGAACGTAATATATGTTTAACTGCTAAA